GTAGCTCGTGGAATACCGACCGAGTAGTTGTCAATAGCGATAGTCCGTAAGGTGGACAGATCGTATGCTAAGGAGGCATGTCCTTTCTTGATGCAATCAGCATCAGCAATGACTCCGATACGGTACTTGAACGATGTATTGAAGAGGGTTGACGCAGGGTACAGGAGGACCGTGCGACCAATCATGGCGCGGTTTTAGACTGCACTTGTGATTCAAAAATTCTGTATCCGTAATGCTGAGTTTCTGTAGTACTGAGTGAATTGAATAGGAAGATCCTTCGAGGTTGGAATGATGCCACTGATATCACTCACCAAATGAATTCTGCAATAAATTGCTGAAGAGTCCCCCTAGTGAGTGATGCATTGGCATGCATTCAATGCATTGCATTGTCATCGGTAATGATACTTCACTCTAAACTTTGGAGTCCAAAGAGTGATTCACTCCGCCATCCTACGAATAGCTTGCTCGGCTCCTTCTCGCCCATCGATGGTCATGACAATATTATGATCGACAGGCGGACGGATTCAAAATATCCTTGATGCTGCTCCTTGTAGCATGATTGGGAATTCGCCAATACTCATGGCCCATGATTCATGGGCATGCGACACTACTGTGACAACTTGATGATGATCGTGTGATAGCGGCGCTGGTGCGGTCCCTGAGTGACATTCTGCTGGAAGCTGTCATCCGGCTGACGCCAGAGACCGGAGCCGGGCTCTGGAAACCCGAACCCACTAGTTGCAAACGCAGATTTGTGGTCAGCATCTCACGTTCCTCTAGACAAATTAATGACAATTGGTAATATCCTTTAATCATGCGTGAATTCCCGTATTCGGGACTATTGCTGTAGCATGCGATAGCGCCAACTTTCTTGTGTTATTGTTCTTCTTCCACATGAGCATCTGCCATCTCAATCTTGCGCCGCAAGACTTGTGGAAGACGTAGCCGAGGGTTTTTGTAGCGTAACCTTGAGGTTTATCTACGGTATAGGGGGTGGCACGGTTAAGGTAATGCGGCAGAACTGTCGCACCGAGTTCGTGGTACGTCTCTTGTATTGTACAAGGTCTCATTAACTGGGAGACTCAGATATGCTAAACATGGTGAGAAGCGAGGCTCTCCAAAGCTCGCCATTGATATCTCATATGATCAGTGGACCACTGACACCGGTGCATATTTGTGGGAGTTAGTAGTGGATCACCACTAATGGTATTCCTGTGATTATTTCATAGTATTTCACAGTATTGGCACGTGATACAGCGCCCACTAATAATTTTCTTCACTACAACGACTGCATTTCAGAAGGCTAACAACTGCCAACGTAGAAGTGGCAGTCATACCTCGTCCCAATTCCCATGTCGAAAAGCACTGTTGAAAAGCAGTCTCTCACTCGTTGGCGTGAGAGTGACTACAGAAGTGGGGAAACTCTGGTTAGGTCCGATTTCTTTGGGCTTCAGCAGACGGCGCTAGAGACGAATTAGCTGGAATTATCATCACATTGTACATGCGTTAACTACCTTCCCAGGCGATCGTCATCATCACCAACTGTTCATTTCCGAATCAAAGCGCTCCACCGCTTGCTGCTAGTATTATCCCTATCGATGCGCTTCTCGCGGTAAGAACAGTTCACGATCGTTTGACTTGTTAAACTGCTATCCAAGCAGAGGTATGCCTCTTGATGGCGCTACTACTACTAGTTGTCATTCCTACTATCCGGAGTTAATCCATTAACAGACGTAAAATGCGTCTCAGTGGAGCCCCACAATTATGGGGAGTGCGAAGCACTCCTCTGACACAACTATCCTGTCCCCCTGGTCTGTGTGACGCTATGAACAAGGCTGAGTACGTAACGATTGAGTACATCAAGCTAGAATCTAAGATGTAAAGTCTTTCTGTCTTTGTCTACTACACTTTATTAATGTATTGGTGTAGGCACGGTTTGTTTCCAATTTTTTTTAACCTTCCTACGGGGGAGACTGGTAGCGGCTAGCCCAAAGAGGCATTGTAGTCGAGCTACCAAAGCCACCAGCTCGTTGCCTTCAGATGCTAATGCACTGCCAGGCGCGGTCTCACTCAACTCCCTCGTAGAAGGACACCACTCAACTGAGTGACTGAAAACTCTGTCCTGTTCTAAACTAAGTAGCTGTTGTGTTTACTATGCCAGGCGAAACGGTGCGAGAATTTTATCGTCCTCACGCATATTACCACTAAACGATGATAAATTTGAGGTAACTCAACGGGTGAGGACTTAGTTTAGAACACTAAGCTAAAAGACGAAAATGGAAGTTCTTCTGAAGTTTTCAGAAGACACTTCTTAGGAGTGTCCGCCTAGTTTGTGCGTCTCTATATGGCGGGGATCGCAGAAAGATCAGGAAACGCAAGGAGTCGGCTGAGGAGCTTCTACTACTGTAGTGAGGCTGTAACAGTGTCAAGGAATTGGCATTGACGCGCTCGGTGTCTAGCCACATCAAGGAGGCGCGCTCAACCTCCTATGATGACTCTGTAAAACTGCAGAAATTAGACGCAGTCAATTTGATCGCGACATATCAGCACAGTTTGTTCTGCTCTCCACTGTAATAGGGTTACTACCTGCCAGATTCGAGGTGAGCTGTAGAAGAAATAAAATTGGCTTGGTAGTAAACAGACTGCCTAAAGCAGTCGCTTTGCGGGGATCATAATTTAACTGCAGATACAGTCGCCGACGTGAGAACG